GTCAAAGCGTCTGCGTGTAAACGCTTCTGTGTGTAAAAGCGTCTGTGTGTAAATGCGTCTGTGTGTAAAAGCGTCTGTGTGTAAATGCGTCTGTGTGTAAAGCCGTCTGTGTGTAAATGCGTCTGTGTGTAAAGCCGTCTGTGTGTAAAAGTGTCTGTATGTAAAAGTGTTTGCGTGTAAAAGTGTCTGCGTGTAAAAGTGTCTGCGTGTAAAAGTGTCTGTGTGTAAATGTGTCTGTGTGTGTAAAGCGTCTGCGTGTAAAAGCGTCTGTGTGTAAAATCTTCTGTGTGTCAAAGCGTCTGCGTGTAAACGCTTCTGTGTGTAAAAGCGTCTGTGTGTAAAGCCGTCTGTGTGTAAAAGCGTCTGTGTGTAAATGCGTCTGTGTGTAAATGCGTCTGTGTGTAAAAGTGTCTGTATGTAATAGTGTTTGCGTGTAAAAGTGTCTGCGTGTAAAAGTGTCTGTGTGTTGAGGCGTCTGTGTATAAAAGCCTATGTGTGTAAAAGTGTCTAGCGTCTGTGTGTAAACGCCTCTGTGTGTAAAAGCTTCTGTGTGTAAAAGCGTCTGTGTGTAAAAGCTCCTCTGTGTAAAAGCTTCTGAGAAAAAGTGTCTGTGTGTAAAAAGTTCTGTGTGTGAAAAACAGTACGAAGGATACGATGCAAACTAGTGCCTTGAACTTGTAATTTATTGTCTTGATACTACTTGTCTCGTCTGCCTATAATACATCTTTAATATATTGTCTTGTAATATAGTGTCTCAATACTAACAACAGAAGACCCTGCTCCTCTACGCTCTCGGGCCATCCATCGTCTAGTGTACATTTTGACTTCGAAATGTGCTTCGTGCCGCAACGGCGTCCTTCGCGCCACAACGGCGCGCACTTTTTCGACATCTCAACGTCGAGAAGTGCTCCGTACCCATCATTTTTTTACACTTTTGACTTTGAAATGTGCTTCGCGCCACAACGGCGCGCTCTTTTTCGACATCTGAACTTCCAAAAGTGGTCCGGTGTGTTTTGTACATTTTGACTTGGAAATGTGCTTCGCGCCACAACAGCCTGCAGTTTCTCAACATCTCAACTTCCAAAAGTGGTCCAAACCTGGTGTGTTTTGCACATTTCGACTTCGAAATGTGCTTCGCGCCACAACGGCGTGCACTCTTTCGACATCTCAACTTCCAAAAGTGGTCCGTCCCTGGTGTGTTTTGTACATGTTAACTTCGAAATGTGCTTCGCGCCACAACGGCGTACACTTTTCAACAGCGCAACTTCCAAAAGTGCTGCGAAAACATGTGGTGTTTTGTACATTTTGACTTGGAAATGTGCTTCGCACCACAACGGCATGCAATTTTTCATCTTTCATCTGGCCAGATGGCTCCGCACCCGCCGCTTTAGCGAGCCTACTTTTCGACCCTCCGGAGCCTCAAATCATTGGAAAAACACAGTGTTTCGCGACTTTCCTACCTTTTCGCGCATCTGCATCTTCTTTCTGCTGACTCTTTCTCTTCTCTGATCTGCTCTCTACTACTCTTCGCTTCTCTCTGCCTCTTTCCATTTCTGCTTTTCATCTGTCCATATTGTCGGAAGTTTGACTTCTAAACTTCCTTCGACTAGAAAATGGGGATTGAACTATCGATAGGATTCAGAATCGGATTTCTGATCTTTCATATATACAAGGTGTAGCCGCGGGATTGGATGGTGCAATGCTGAGAAATGTGCAAACATGATCACATTTTTTCCCCACCTGCCGAGTGAGGGTTGTTAGATTTTATCAGAGGTGTGCTCCTCATCCTCCTCCTCATCCTCCTCCTCCTCCGCCTCCTCCTCTTCCGCCTCCTCCAGTTTCTCCCCGACCATGTCTGCATCAACTTCCACGTCCACTTCCGCCTTGCCAACTCTTTGCCAATCTCTTCGCCAACTTCGGCCTTGCCAACTCTTCGCCAATCTCTTCGCCAACGTCCGCGCGCAGTGGGCGCTGCTGGACCTCAACTGCTGGCTTCAGCCTTGCCCACTCGTCGCCAATCTCTTTGCCAACTTCCGCGCGCAGTGGGCACTGCTGGACCTCAACTGCCGGCTTCGGCCTTGCCAACTCTTCGCCAATCTCTTCGCCAACTTCCGCGCGCAGTGGGCACTGCTGGACCTCAACTGCCGGCTTCGGCCTTGCCAACTCTTCGCCAATCTCTTCGCCAACTTCCGCGCGCAGTGGGCACTGCTGGACCTCAACTGCCGGCTTCCGCCTTGCCAACTCGTCGCCAATCTCTTCGCCAACTTCCGCGCGCAGTGGGCACTGCTGGACCTCAACTGCCGGCTTCCGATCTGAGTGGGCAAGGCTGGACCTCAACTGCAAGGTTCTGAGCGTAGTGGGCACCGCTGGAAATTTGAATCAGGGACCTTCCGAGCCCAGTGGGCACCGCTGGACCTCAACGACCATATAGAATGCCAGAAGATATGCCAGATAGAACGCCAGATAGCATGTCAGATAGAATGCCAGAAGATATGCCAGATAAAATGCCAGAAGATATGCCAGATAGAATGCCAGAAGAAAGGCCAGATTTAGAATGCCAGAAGGTATGCCAGATAAAGTGCCAGAATGTTTGCCAGATAGAACGCCAGAAGATTTACCAGATAGAATGCCAGATAGAATGTCAGAAGGTATGCCAGAAGATATGCCAGATAGAGTGCCAGAACATATGCCAGGTAGAATGCCAGAAGATATGCCAGATAGAATGCCCGATCGAATGCCAGAAAATATGTCAGATAGAATGCCAGAAGATTTGCCAGAAACAAAATGTATAAATGTCATGGTGGGGATCACACGAAGTAAAGTAATTTGATTCACTGCCAAAGAATCTGACTGGGTATCTAAACACCTTCAAAGCTGTCATTCAACACAGAAAGGCACATGCTCGCTGGGGCTTGCATTGCTCGAATTGTGAAAACCCAAACTTACTGTGCATTGGTACCTTCCTAGGCAAGGGTTTGTCCATTACAACCGCCTCTACCCCGCTCTTTCATTCCATTGTAGGTCATAATTAGTGGGTATGGCGATTCCTCTGTGAAACCATTGGGTATACTTTCCAGCATCGAGGTCCAGAAACTCTCACCACATCTCACTTAATAAGAAGTTTCCTGAACCATTGAAGCATGGGATAAACCAATCAGCGGCAGTTCTATATGGATGAGCTTACCACCTTCCCAGAATTGGTTGAGGAATCTCACAGGAAAACGTAGTTTTCAGTCCCACAAAAACAAAGTTTCCTGCGAATTTTCCGTGAATCAATCGATTGACATCATTTGACATCTGCAATTCCAGGGTAACACCCTCCACCCTGCATGTCAGGGAGACCTTCTCAATGCTCCCACGGATATATAGCATTGTGCCCTGGCGATGCTGGAAACCCTATCAACATGTGGAGACTCTTAAAGGTGGGCGCGAACGACTTACAGTATCTGGATATATGGTACCCCCCCGAGATCCACCTGAAAGCATTTTTTGACATATGCATTTACAATCATATACATGTACAGAAGCATATACGGATGCAAAGACATATTAGATTATTATATTTGGGATCTATACATGGGCTCTGGGATCTTTCTGGAAAGCCAAGGTAAGTCTAGAATCCCAGGCCTTTCTCAGGTCTGACAAGTTCTTCTTAGTGGATCCAAGACTTCCTCAGGGTCTTGGCACAGAAATCTTGGATCCAAGGGGGGCCTTGCTGGATCCAAGATTTCTGTGCCAAGACCCCCAGGAAATCTTGGATCTTGGATCCTTACAATGTCAGAATTGAGATTTTCAAGTCTGAACTCTTTTCAGACCTGAGATTCTCAAGTCAAAGAACCTGAGGTAAACCAAAACAACAAAATATGAACTTCAGACCAAAGCATTCTCTGAAAAGTTTTTGGTTTTTGCTTTTTCTGGTTTTCCCGATGTTTTGCTGCAATGCATATCCACGTCCTTTAAGAGTAGCAGCAATAGATTCAGCAAAATTTTGTACACTTTTGAATTTGGCTGGGCACCATCCAGGTGGCCATTTTTTGCTGATTTTCTCATAGTTTGAGCACCCTCTCAGAAAGTTACTTAAAACCATGGGAAGAAATACAAGGCAGCCAAGACTAGAAAATATAATAAGTAAACAAGTTTGAGCATGGACTTTGAAGTTTGTTGTCAAAGCAAAATTCTCCAAGATAGGCCTTGCGCAGCAGTATTTTTCATAGAATACGACATTCCTAGCAAAAAGGCGCATCATTCCTTGCATAAAGTGACATCACTTTGTACAATCTCATCAGATAAAGGAATGCAGCATCTATCCGAAAGGAATATCGAATTATTTTCAAAGAGACTTACAACTGCGCAAAGTTAAAAAGGAGCGCAGCATTTTTTTTAAAGGAATATAGAGGTATGTTCAAAGAGACTTACAGCTGCGCAAAGTGACAAAGGAGTGCAGCATTTCTTCGAAAGGAATGTAGAGTTATTTTCAAAGAGACTCGCAGCTAGATGATGTACCACCGTATGCATACTTTCTTATCCAGCTTGTTGTTTCTCAAAACTGCTTCGACCTTATTGATTTCAAGATAAAAAGCACGGGAAAACCATGGTTTATATAACTGAGAACAAGTAAAATTTCATGTCGAACCTTTCCCCTAAAATTAGATTAAAGACCATATATAAACAAAAAAACTAAAGTTTTGTTTTTTGAAGAGGAACCCTAAAAAGAAGCACCTGTGCTGACTAGTTTTTACTATTTGGGGGGTGAAACCCTCAAACGGGACCTTCCTTTTGAAATTGTTTCTGAAGGGGATCAATTAAAGATCAACTTCAAATTTCCCAAATTTTAATGGATCCTAGTTGTTTGGTGTTCGGGATACGTTTAGTAAGGGGGAAGAAGTTGCCAACCATTTACCAATGATTTGTTCCAATTATTGCGGATGGAAATGGCTTCGGTTTTGCCCAGGAGGTACTCGTATACCCCGAATGTCAAAGTCACCATGTCACCGCCGCAGGCCACGCAGATGACCGCGAAGGAGGGGCACAAGGTTTGGGGGGTTTGGATGGTGGTCGTACTTGGAAGTGCAGTTCTGGTTGTTTCATGGGTACGTAGCAATGTCTATGTATACTCTGTGCAAAAAAACTTCTGTGCGTAAATGCTTCTGTGTGTAAGCGCGTCCTTGTATCAAGGCTCCTCTGTGTAAACGCGTCTGTGTGTCAAAGTTTCTGTGTAAAGGCTTTTGTTGTGTAAAAACTACCCGCAAGCACGTATGTTTTGTTTGCACGAGCACAATCTACAGTATGACAGGTATGGAATGGCACGGTCTTTTCCCCATTTTTGTAGCCGCTTCCTTGTGTGTTCTCCGAGTGTAGAGGAACAGTCCCGACTACTAATGGGGGTTGACACCTGCTGGTTTCTGTTGCTAGGAAACGTCCCATGGGTGGAATTTGACATGACTGAGAAAGGTGATATCTGCCATCGATGGCTTATGTTTAAATGGGATATTTCAGCATCCTCGTTTCTGTTTGCGCTCCATGATTGGCAGTGATACTTTGTTCCGGGAATCTGCAATTGCAGAAACTGAAGTGCAAATGATTTTTTTGGAATGGGCAATGCCTCGACACATCAGGGATTCTCATGCTTCTTTACAACAAGGTAACATCAGTCAGATTCATTCCACATGAATCGACCCGGGATCAACATTCAGCCAAGATGCACATCAACCATCACATGATTGCTTTATTGAAAGATAACGCGAAACCCCCAAGAATAGAAATCTGAAAGATGTCTATACTTTCTACTGCAAATGACAAGTGTTGGGTTTCTTTGATTTACTTACTTTACAGTAAGTGGCTTTCAACGAACTATTTTCATGGGACCATTTGTTTGCGCTTCACTGCTCAACTGGTTGGAAATATGTCGCGTTTTCTTATCACTGCCAAGATCATCCCTTACAATTCCCTCTGTTTATTTGGAATGGGCAATACATCTACACATCAGGGATTGTCCACTATCATGTTTGTTTGCAACAAGGTAACCCTATCATAAGCCGTGTTCATGTCCACATCTGGGTTAACATTCATTCAAGATTTACGTCGACCATCACATGACCATGATTAATTACTTTATTGACAGGTAAAACATGGAACCCCAAGGATGAGATCTGGAAAATGTACGTTCTAATTACTGCAAATTACCAGTAGGACCACGCAAGGCGGTGGCGGAAGTTTCAGAAATAGGAAGCCTATAGGAAGGGTTGGTTGCTGTGACTCACGGATGGCAGAGCGAATCCACTGATGGACCGAAAGGTGGTTGGAGCTGTGCTTTTTGGAGTGGTTGCAATGGTTGCAGCGGTCACCTCACTCACAACTGGATGTAGTGTGGTGTAGCGCAGTAGCTGTAGTTGTAGTTGTCGTGGTAGTTGTACAATGGTGGTAGTGGTAGTAGTAGCAGCAGTAGTAGTAGTAGTACAGGTAGTACAGGTAGTACAGGTAGTACAGGTAGTACAGGTAGTACAGTAGTAGTAGTAGTAGTAGTAGTAGTAGTAGTAGTAGTAGTAGCCGTAGCCGTAGCAGTAGCAGTAGCAGTAGGAGTAGGAGTAGGAGTAGAAGTAGTAGTAGTAGTAGTAGTGGTAGTGGTAGTGGTAGTGGTAGTGGTAGTGGTAGTGGTAGTGGTAGTGGTAGTAGTAGTAGTAGTAGTGGTAGTGGTAGTGGTAGTTGTAGTGGTAGTGGTAGTGGTAGTAGGAGTGGTAGTCGTAGTTGCCGTTGTAGTAGTTGCCGATTGTAGCAGTTGCCGTTGTAGTAGTTGCCGTTGTAGTAGTTGCCGTTGTAGTAGCTGCAGTTGTAGCAGTTGCCGTTGTATTAGTTGCCGTTGTAGTAGCTGCAGTTGTAGCAGTTGCCGTTGTATTAGTTGCCGATTGTAGCAGTTGCCGTTGTAGTAGTTGCCGTTGTAGTAGTTGCTGTTGTAGTAGTTGCTGTTGTAGTAGTTGTAGTGTAATTTGTGTAGTGTAGCGTAATTAGATGTAATTAGTGTAGCGTTGTGTAATGTAGCGTAGTCTATTTGCACTTGCAATAGTGTAGTGAGTGTTGTGTAATGTAGCGTAGTCTATTTGTACTTGTAGATTATTTGTAGTAGCAGTAGTAGTGTAATGTAGTGGTACTTGTAGTTGTAGTTGCAGTTGTAATCATTTGTCTCTCTATCCATCTGTCTATCTGCAAGCTTGAAAACGAAGCTATTCTGCGAGACTCCCTCAGTCTTTGAACTTGACAACATCAAAAACGCAGCAATTCAGCGAGACTTCCTCAATTTTTGAACTTGGCAACGTTAAAAACGAAGCAATTCTGCGAGACTTCCTCATTTTTAAAAGGTGACAACATCAAAAACGAAGCAATTCTGCGAGGCGTCCTTCAAAAATGGAAAGTTGAGTGCAGAGCTGACGGCCTCGTGCCAATGCGTTTTGCGATTTTTCCACTCCACCTGTCTAAAGTACTGCGCCTGCCACCAAAAAGTGATGCCAGGTCATACCAAGTGCTGCACCTGTCACGCAAAATCATCTCAGCAAACCTGAATGAAGATCTGTTGCTCCAAAATGCAACCCTTCTCAGGAAATCAGCGCCCGGACCTCCTAATAGCTCTGATGAACATGTCTCTTGCACTGTGCCTGCCACAGAAAATGCATCTTTGCAGATCCTACAAAATCCTCACGTTTTTCTTAATTTTGAGAAGGTGCATAATCCCTTGCGCCTGCCACGCAAAACCACATCTGAACCTTCAAAAGTGGCGGGGGGCATCCGTTACGAGTTGCTTTTGGTGTGTTCGGATTTGTAATACACACCAACAAACGAAAACCTTCATCATCATTAGTTGCCCCAAAATATTATTTGGGTCAATCCACATTCGTGTTGCTTGAATCCCATTGAATCCTAGTTTATGCATGTTTTCGCTAGCTAAATCCAACAACCAGTGATAGGGATCATGTGAAATGTCCACGTTTCCGAAATCCAGGACCAGCTCCGAAGAATTTTTGAGGTCTTCGGAGAGGCAAGGGGGCTTCAGCTGCTGGGTTTTTGTGGAAGATCAGAGATTTACGACCCTGAATTTATATCACTTATTTGGCCATCAAAGAAGCGGGAAAATATGATAAAATATGGGAACATGATTTCTGACCGTACCCATGTGACAATGAGAGCGAATGGGCTACCCCATTTTGATTCAAAACCACTTGGGTTTCCAGAACGTAGGAGGCACAACCAACAAGAGATTGTGTTTCTTACCAAGCATGATTGTGTGACAATCAACAAAAATGACCCAGCTCGAAGCAACAACCTAGATTTTTAAGAGTAGCGTCATTCAAGTGTTGCAAAGGAGTAGCTTTTGTTTGCTTATGTTTTGGTTGCTTAATGGATGGGGTATTACAAATTTATAGAGTATGAAACTAAATGAAAATAATATGTGCGCGGGCAAATAGCACTAAACGGAGAAATGCCCACTGGTTAATGGTTTCAAATATAATTTTCATATTCAGCTATATTCGTAGTGATAATCCCTACTAATCACCGTTCATTTTTGGGGATGGGGTGAAATAACCACCAAAAACTTGATGTCTTGATGTTCTTTGATGTTCGAAGATCGACAGGAAGGCCGATGGACAGCACCTCCTCCACCTATATACCCGTCCAAGGGTGGCAAGGGAAAACCCCAAACAAATTTGGTGATTTTAGACCCAACTACCGAGCTATGACAGATCCACAACGTTTACAACCACACCCGCCAGATGAGCTTTGGCGTCAGAATAATGCGGGCAAACGGGTGAACGGGTCCATGGTTGCTTACACTCAACATGTACCTTTTGTTACATGTTGCTCATAAAACAGTTCAACCGTGTTCAAATAGATTCAGGTCAGCCCCATGTACAACACTGACGATAGACTGAGTCACATTTTTTGCCGGTGGATTTGGATTTGGAAGACCTCTGTGATTTGATTTGGTTGCAATGTCAATGTGTTTGAGGGAAGTGGGACGGTACAAGTGACATAGTTTATTTAGCGTCTTACGGGTGTATGGAAATTGGGTATGCCCCCCAAATTCCCCTTTTGATAGGTTTCTTAATAGGTGCCCCATCTCCAGACAGACCCCAGGCAAGCTTTGCCCGGATTTGTGACTACATGTGTCATTCGGAAGGAAACAGCAGCTTTTGCAAAAACCCTTCAAAGGTTTTGGGCAGCCGCAGTGAATACAATTTACAATGCCGTAAAGGATTTGCATTTGATAAAGGGTCCTTGGAAATTGATTCTTGGGTCCTTGGCTATTTACTTGGTGGGTGGCTTTAGGTCAAAAAAAATGTTTCAAAAGTATGGAACTTTTTAAGCTACAGTACTTTTTACGATTCAGGAAAAGATGAACTTTATTTTTAAAGGCAGAGTTCTTGAATCTCGAAGTCCAACTTCTAAAACTTAAACTCATACGATCTTAAATATTGTTCTAAGATCCTTCTTGGAATTTCCTCTACAGAATCAGGAACGTTAAGTCCTGGAAAATGGTGCGTTTTAACCCCCTGCTTTGTTTAGGGGTACCTACCCAATGTCAACGCTTTCAATTTTATAGAGGACCTTGGGGTCTCTGATTCTATAGAGATTTCATGTTGAATACAGCACTGAGTACTAGTCAGCAGAGAGTCTTAGGGACTGCGATTCTATAGTGAGATATGTTCTCTTTGGATGTATGTCATGTTCTTCAATTCTATAGAGAAATATTGGCAGATACCAGAGCAGCGAGGATTAAAGAAAAGGAAGCGGATGGAAACAGATGGAAACAAAATGAAACAGAGCAACTGTCAAGATCTTTCAAGCATTTTTCACAAGTCTATAAAATCGAAGAGGTTGACATCGAACACTTGGAGCCTTTGAGCTCTATAAATTTGGAAATGCATAAGGTAAGCTAGGCAAGAGCAACTGGAGCATTCAGGTCAGCTGTCAATGAATGATATTCGGGGAGTCTGATTTTATAGAAGGCCAACTAACCCCCCCAACCTAAAAAGGCTCTACGAGAGTGACTTGGTGTCAGCAATTCTATAGAAAATGATGCTCATAAACGACCTCAGTGACAGCATTTCTTTCGAGATTGTCAACTTGAAAATACCTTGGGGTCTCTGATTCTAAAGATGCATTTTCAGAAAGAGGGTCAGCGTCTCCAGAATTATCACTATAAAATTGCCAACACCAACACTCTCACTTAATTCAAAGGGGGATGTTCTAAGTATTTAAGTTTCAATCAGCAGAGCAGCAGAACATGTTCTTTTTTATTGTGCCAGTCAAAAAGAACACGGTCAAGTTTGAATCTACGTTTCAAAACATGTGGCATTGCTGGCGCGTGGCTCCATGAACCGCGCAGAAGAGAAATGAGATAATGTTGCAAAACAAATACGAAGAGCCATTACTGATGCTAAGTTGTGAACCACACCAACGAATTAGTAGCATTTTCCAACACCATCCATTCAATATCAAATATGCAGCCCAATGTGCTGCAATTTTGACATGTGGTATGCACAAATCAGATACAAGATTATCCGGACCAATGGGCCGAAACATGGAATAGAAACACACTTTTTTTGAACATGTCCCGAAGTGAGGACGTTGGACACTTTTGTCGGTGCTTGGTGGAAAAAAAGCAGCTGAGTGGTTTGTGGCATTCGTGCACAAGTTGACTTGCATCAATGCGGCCCATCGGGCCGGTCAAGACAAGTTAGCAGAGTAGGCAATTGTGGCCTTTGGGCACCATTTGATTTCAAC